TTCTATATAAGATTTAAAATATTTATTATATGATATTTTGAAATTGAAAATGGTTAAATAAATGTCAATGTTTGTTTGATGACCTTCATGGAATCTATTTTCTGTTTAAATGCTTACCTAGTGTATATGAAAGCTATTTAGTAATATATATAAAAGCTATTTAGTAATATATATGAAAGATTTTTAATACTATATATGAAAGCTTATTAGAAATATATATGGAAATTTTGTAGTAGTGTGTATAAAAGCTAATTAGTAAAGCTATTTAGTAGTGTATATGACAGCTTTTAATATGATATATGAAAGCTTATTAGTAATATATATGAACGTGTTATGATTTTATGCAAAGATCGGAGCCACATGCAGGAAACCAAACAGAGAGACCAAGGCAAGGTTTAACAGGTTTATGGAGAACTGGTAGAGATGGGTCCAGTGCTGCTCTGAACACTGGCGAACCGGGACTGAAAAGTGAGGAAAGTTCCTGTGGTTAGTTCAGGCTCAGTGGGAAATTAGAGATTCAATTTGCACAAGGGAATAAAGGCAACAGGACTCACGTTTCCAGAAAAGGTGTCGATCTCTGAATCCAGTAGGTGTGGGTTGTTCCAGTAATTGACTTGCTCGTTGGAGGGCGGACAGGGTTTACCCAGGTTGAGGTGTTTCCTTGAGGAAAGGAGGAGCTGACTGCCACTTAGATTTCCTATGGTACTTGAACGGTTTCTTGTAGAGATGAATCAGCTGCTCAGTGTGAAGCTCAAACAATCCTTTGAGGAAAGGTAGATCCAAACCTCCAGTTTGAATCCCCAGCTCAGTAGAAGCTCAGACAATCCTTCCAGGGGGGTAAGGTCCAAAACATCCAGTATGCAGGATGACTTCCTGCTGAGAGGCAAAGACAAAAAACAACAAGGTTAAGACTCAGGTTGACAAAAACTCAGTTAGATTCAGCAAAACTCAGCTTGGCTAGAGAACCCAAAACTGGCAAACACTCTGGCGTCGAGGTAGTGGCAGTCAGCAGCTTAAGAGTCCTGCATTAATAAGCCAACCATCCGCAGGTGTGTGAGAAGGCCAACGAGAACCAGGCGCCACCTGGTGGTAGAGGGAAAAAACACAAAAAACACAACCCACACAAACTGGATTCCTAACAAAAATAGCTTTTTAGTCATATATATGAAAGCTTTTTAGTAGTTTGTATGAAGTGTGTATGAAAGCTTTTTTGGCTACGTTCACATCGCAGCCTGAAGTGACCCAAATCCGATTTTTTTACCCATATTCGACCTGGATCTGATCTTTTAATGGCAGTCTGAACAACACAGATCCCATTCTTTCCAATGCGATCCAGATTTCTGTGGTCCTGAATCCGATATGAATCTGATCTTTTCAAATGCAAGCCTGTCTCTGAACGTCCAGGTCGCATTAATCCGACCTGAACGCCATTAATACCCGACAAAGGTCACTATTTTGCGTCTTGGTATGAAGCAGTAATTATTTTTAACTAACTTGAAAAGATTATATTTTTTATGCAGGGGCGGAGCTAGATGGGGGGCCAGGGGTGGCCATGGCCACCCTTAGCCAAACAATAGCACCCCCCTGTGGCCACCTCTATCCTTTCTTCCCCTCTAACGTGGATGGTGGCAGATGTAATACTCTCAAGTAAAAGATTCATTTTAATTTTTAATATATATTACTCACTAATTTTTCATGCCTTTATAACTTCTTAACAACAAAAACACTGTGGTTAATTATACACATCAATATACTAACATTAGAGATGATAAGTACAAAATTCATCCACTTTTCAGAAACAGATTTAATGTTTTATGGGGTAAAGAGAAAATTATGTTTCCCTGCAAGTCATCCAGGAGTCTTCAGTGAAATCATAGATAAACAACAATTTTAGTAAAAACCTATTAAATAATCAATTTATTTAGATATTAGTGCTTGTAAATATCAATTTTTTGCAGAATGATTAAGGTTTAAGTAATGACAATGGAAAAGATGTTTTCCCCAGAACTCAAACCTGAAAGAATTCGATCCAATATACCTTTTATCTAGAAAGCAGGGATGTTTAAATGTATGCATCTATATGTTAGTAAAGGCTGTAGGAAAGTAGCGCTAGCCTTATCTTTGGCTTGACCGTGAGGTTCTGGCCCCTATCCACTCGGCCCCCCCTCAGTGTACATTGGTTATTGCCTGGCCGCCCTTATAAAAATGTTCTGGCGCTACCATCCATGTTTACTTCTGTAAACACAGAGCACGCTGGCCTGTGACATCATTGCGTCATCTACTGTGCTTGCGGCACTTGCGTTGTATGACTGCAGTTCACACAGGAGAACGTTAGTCGCATATATTTGGAAATGTGAACGGCAACGCAAAAAAATCGGATTTTACAAAAAAATAAGAACTGAGCATCAAGGCCTGCAGTGTGAACACAGCCTTAGTAGCGTGTATGAAAGCTTTTCAGTAGTATGTATGAAAGATAAAGCATTTCACCAGTTCTCACTACTTTGTATGAGAGCTTTTGAGTAGGTTATTTTTCACTAGTTTATGTGAGAGCTTTTCACTAGTATTTATGCATGTTTTTCAGTATATTATATGGAAGAGTTTAATATGTGTATATGAAGTTATTTCTGTTTTATGTCCCTGGGGCACCTCATAGAATTCAGTCACATGCAAACACTGACAGGTCCCTAACGAGCTGCATATTGCAAAGAGACTAAAGGACTGCATCAATAGGAAGAACAAGACCTTTAAATCAGTGGACACAGCAGGAGATAGGGCTCCACAGAACGACCTGGACCAGATGATGAGATCGCCTCCAAAGGCCTCCAACAGCATCCTTTCAAGTCTGACTTTAAGACGCAGTTATTCTATCCACATCGCCGCCAAAACTCAAAAGATGGACTCAAGGGAGGAACCTGACATTTCTAGTGGTAATGAGCTAAACCATTCGTTTGAGCTGTTAAGAAGAAAACAAGCAGAATGCAGAAATGCGTTGAAAGAGGTTCATTGTAATCTGCACCAAGGCTGAATCTTATTAAACCATCAGCACAGATCATTGCTTAATTACAGGGCGACAGCTTTCTTTAAAAACATGCAGAGAGGAACCAGCACCAGCTGGGCATCTTCTTTTCAGACACCTTTTAAAGGTATTATGGAGGATTTTTCAAAAGACCCGCCCTATCCACTTATGCACAAGCACAAGCCTATTTCTCCTCGTGCACGCCCTGTTTAAAATACGCTGTTCTCATAACTCATACCAGCTAACTGAGTCCACCCACAGCGGGGACTATATAGTGGACTTTATAGCAAACTGACCCGTCGGACAGATGTTATTAGTCGCCGCTGTCGGATGTAGACAACCTATGGCCACAGTTGGCCGCTGTGACAGCACATCCCATAATGCTTTGCAAGGAGAGCTCTCCGCATAAAGCATTCTGGGATATATCTGCCTCCTCTGAGGCCTTTCTTTTCTTCTCAAACTTCATAGACACATTTTCTCTTCTGCCCCTCGGCCATTTTCAAAGAACGGCGGTGAGAAAGGTGAGCTTCAATGACCGTCTGAAACCGTAACTCACCACAGATATACGCCTGAAAGTTCGCATGTGCAGAGAAAGCTAGCTAATGGGACGATCGCGTAGGACGGCCTACGTAAACATATCACCAGAATGATTGACAGTTAGGAGGACCACTGATTGAGGTGATCCACCAGGAAATAAAAGATCCCAAGAAGATTGGAATAAACGATGTAAGTCCAGCAGCTCGCGTTCCAAACAAGATGAAATTAATTGGTCCGATATGCTTAGAGGTACACAAAGCACAGCATGCAATTCCATCCAGTCATATATAACTCTGAAAAAAGTATTTGGTTGATTGTGAATCCATTCTTAGATTTTTTTTCTTCGGTTTAATTCGGTCTTGTAAACGGGTCACAGCAGGAAAGTCATTCAGCTCTCCCAAAAATGATAATGGGGGAAATACTGTGATGAGAGTCTGATTACACTGCAAAAATGTAAATCTTAATGAGTCATTTTTTCTTAAAATAAGTGCATTTTATCCTGAATTGAGGAGACAAATGAGACATTTTGCCAATGGAACAAGACAATTTACATTTAAAATAAGAAAAATCAATTGCATTGTCTTATTTCAAGTGCATATTATCTAAATATCTTATTTTAAGTGTAAAAATACTAATTCCATTGGCAAACTATCTTATTTACCTGCTCAAATTAAGGGTAAATACATTTGATTTAAGACATTTTTACTTGATTTCAGATTGTTTTTGCAGTGTACAACTGAACAAACCTCTGCTGGCAGCAGGGGGGGGGGGCACCAGGAATCTAGGGCCCCAGGAAAGACCTTGATATTGGGCCCTCAACTCCTCAACAACAAATAAAAGTTCATACCAGCTTTAAAATGATGCAAAAGTATCAATTGCATTCTCACTGCATTTTTATTGTAAAATTTCTACAAAGGGAAAATTATCAGAATGTAAAAAAATTAAATATAGATTAACTTTAAACAATAATTTACATCCTATCAAAATATTAACAGTTTAATTAGAACGGAAAAGTGTTGAATTTATGTATACATTAATAGAAAATAGGTTTAGGATTGTGAAAATAAACTCCTATTATGTTTCACTGTAACATTATTAAAGGACAGATTATTTCTGTGCTGGGAACTAATTTTACATTAAAACAAAACATGTATTTCAGGCTGCTCATGAGAATGATCAAGATTTATAGATGTCTTTCAATGGTTTTAATTTTATCTGAATATAAAAATGTAACTAAAGCGTTTTAATATTGACATAGATTTTAATACAGGCTGCAAGCAGAGCAAGTGGACGTCTGTAGACTTGGTTTAAACAGGGAGTTTCATCGTCTATGAATATTTGGTATTTAATGTGATTTATATAAAAAGTCTGACTTTGCTGTCCTGAATTTGAAGCTTTGAACAGGGAAATGTTTTCTGTTAGACTGATGGTCTTTATCTGACTGCAGCACTACAAGGCCGTGGAGCGGTTTGTGAAGTCCTGCGCAGGATACTGCGTGGCCACCTACGTCCTGGGGATAGGAGACAGACACAATGACAACATCATGATCACAGACCAGGGTTTGCAGCTGTTGGTTTGATCTGCAATAATTCATGTTTATCATTTTTGAATGAGGAGATTATTAATCCAACGTAAACTGACGAATGGGGTGAAACCGTTCTGATGTCCTCCTTACAGGAAACCTCTTCCACATCGACTTCGGTCACATTCTGGGTAACAGGAAGCTCTTCCTTGGAGTGAGCAGGGAGCGTGCACCGTTTGTCCTCACCCCCGACTTCCTGTACGTGATGGGCAGGGTCAAAGGTCGAAACAGCCTCTACTTTCAGCGCTTCAGGGTATGTAGTGTGTGAAAGTGTGGTTGGATGCATGGATTAAAATAAATCATTTGGTGTGTTTCAACTTTCTTTATTAGAAGGAACATAATTTTATAAACAGCTGAGAGGCTTTTTGAAAGTAATAAAAGCTTAAATAACGTAGTAAAGAGCAAGAATCTGTTGGACGTATGAAAGTACTAGTTGACTGTTTATTTGATCTAAATGATCAAATAAATGAAAGTATTGCAATAACACCATTCATGTCGTTAACAGATGCAGTGGTGGACGAAGTAATGTAGCACATTTCTGACCGGAAAAGTCTGTTCAGCAGGAATAATCAATGGATCATTATTTAGACCTAAAACGGTGATTTAATGAATATAGATTTAATCTGTATAAGAATAAAAACAATAATTTTCATTGCGATCACTGAGTCTGGGAGCGGCCATTTTCCCCCAAATATAGTAGCCCCTCCCTCCTGCCATCTTCCAGCAGTGACGTCACGGTGCGGTAAGCCTAGCGCCATTCTCCCCGCTTTCCAAGCTAAATCAATGGGAACTACTAGACACATCTGCAATCAACAACAATTATTGAAGATTTCCAGAGGACTTCACCATTGAAATTCACCAGAGCTATAGTGAAACTGACAATGCCCACGTGCATGGCAGCTGGATGCTGGAATACATCGGGGAAAAGTGAAAAAAAGAGTTATTCCACCTTTCTGGTTCCTGATCCTCCACGGACGGGTTGGTCGTTGGATCGCCAACTTGAAGAGGGAGGATTTGCCATCGAACTTCTGGCCAGAGAAAAAACCCGTAATATGTAGCCAACATTTGGAAGAAGAATGTTTTCAAGATGACTTGGATAATAGCGCGTTGTGACAAACACCAGATACAGCACTGGGACTTGATCAACAGCCGATACCGCACCGTGACAATGTCACTAACCAGTAGGTGGCAGTAGTGTTCTTTGACAAACATGGATGCCTCCAGTAAAGCACATTCACATGAAAATTACTCTGAATTAAAAGCACTGATCATTTATTGAACAGGATGGAATCATTTCAGATTTAAAGAACTTTCAGAAGTTTGAATTCTGAATATGAGCGACTTTTCCTTTAAAGATTCTGTAACTTTCAGAAACCACCTGATATATTTATGTATAGAATCAGCTGTTACAGATTCTACACCACCTGGAAAGAACTTCTACATGAAAAAACCCTGAAAAATAAGGAAAGCTATTTTGATTATAATTTCTTATCCAAAGAGAAACTGATGTTTAAGGTTGAATCTATGACCACAAAGAAACTGCAGCTCTGCTTTGAGAACTCATCCTACTGAATAACATAGCAACAACTAACACCTTGATAAGATTTATAAAGCAGGAATAATATCTGCCCTGCGTTCCTTACATCTGTGGAACGTCATGCAAATCTCAGTGATCCTAAGTGCTGCTATCTGCCATGTTTAAATTACATTTCAAGAAATAAAATCAGCAACAGCGGATTACGAAGCTAAGCTATAAACACCGCCCCGAGAAAATACTCAAGTAAAGTAAAGAGACTTGAAAAAATATTGAAATACAGTAATCAAGTAAATGTACTTTGTTATTTTCCACCACTAAACAGAAGATGGAACCAGCAGTAAGATAAAGTTAGGAAATGCAGTTTTTAACAATGCTATAATCAGGGTCAAAGAAACGTTCCAATGAGGGTTTTAAAATAAAAACATGTGAATATCTGCATGAAAATCAGGAAATGCTGTGAACACCTAATGGAGCAGTGATGTACTAATGTCTAACAGCTGCTGGCAGGGGGGACCTGTGAAGGCGCTCCTTTGAGCCCCTAAAGTCTTTAGTTCAGTAACAGCTTCAGGGCTGCGGTGTTACTGGATCAGTCAAAGTTCTTCAGCTTCCTACAATCAGCACTCGGTCGAGGGAGCGCTGTTCCTTCCTGATCCAAACACTTCTTCTGCTGCTACAACGTACGATAGACTGAGTTATCAATAAAACCAAATGAGCCTGATGAAGAGGAGGAAAAGAAGGCAGCACTGAGCTTCTGTACCAGGCGATGCTCTAAGCTCAAACTCATCATCTCTAAACTTCAGGAGGAAACAGCCCAGCGACAGTTAGTCAGAAAGCTGATAAGACGGCTGCGCAGGCAGCAGGATTGCTGTTTGATCGCAGATAGCTGGATGCTCACAGGATGCACCAGCAGCACACATCTCTGATCAACTGGGAATCATGCATTTAGCTGACTTGACTTAATAGGTTAATAAAAAAAAAAAAAACGGACTAGGGAGGACCTGCTGAGGACCAGAGAGCGCTGTCATAATCTGAGCTTTGTAGCAAAGACTGAGGCTGCTGTCATCCAGCTGTGCTAATGGGACTAAAAGAGAAGCTCTGATTGGACATTTAGATGGCAGTTCAATAATTAGAACCCTCTCATCCATAGTCCAACTGACTGCGTTTCACCATGGAAACAACATGCAGGCTGAAGGCAGGAGGAGAAGCTCTGATACACTTTTAAGTCACAGTTTTTCTATGAACTAAATGAGACGTCATTGGTTCACCCAGCGGTTTGCAGATCAAACTCTAGTCTGTTGCTGCCCATAAATTCACCTTTCATAAGCAGATATGTTTTTATTTATTTATCAGGGTGGGTCTCAGTGAGACTATAGATCTCTTTTACAAGAGAGACCTGGCCAAATAACATACTAATATTAAAGATATCAAAACCAATTAATATACAACATAGACAGGAAGCTAAAGAACAATAAAACAAACACAGCCATGATTTTTAAAATAGAAATAAAATACTGCCTAATATTTATCAAAATATTTGCAAAAAAATGTAGAAACTGATTTAGAGTAAGAAACTATTTTCTTCAACCTTCAGTCATTCTGCTACACAAGAGGATTATGACTACTAAAAAAATTAACAGATTTTTAAATAGTATTTTAGTTTAATATGGGAAAAAAGTCACAATTCTGACTTTAATCTCAGAATTCTGACTGAATCCGTCAGCTAACCAGCATGTTAGCATCCAGCCGTAGTCATGTCTGTTTCAGAGTCCAGCTCTATTGTTTTAATCACCTTCTGTTCTTCCATTAATCAAACAGCATCAGCAGGGACCCTCAGGGACGGAAAAACTCTCCTAATTCCATCATTTTCCACCAATGTGTTCCTGTTTCTCCCAAACATCTCACATCTCTGTCAGTGAAGCTGAGTGCTCCACATCTCTGCCTTCATGGCTCCCATCTGCATTAACATCCACAATTCTATCAATTAAAATCAGAATTCTAAGAATTAAAGTCAGAATTTTGAGAAAAAGGTCAGAATACTGACTTTTTCCCATTTTTAACTGAAATAATATCTAAAAATCAGTTCACTTTTTTTATAGTGGCCCTAATCCTCTTCCGTACCGTAAACCCTTGATGGCTTTATAAATGTAAAAATACCAGAGGTAAAAGCTAAGGGGGGGGGGGGGGCAGGGCGGTCCAACCAACGCAAGCATACAGAACACAATGGTAAGTTAAGGCTCCCAGACCAGGGATGAAACGTAAAAATACTCCATGACACGGAGAATCTAGACTAGGCAACCAGTGAGAACATTCATGCATGGAAATTATGTCACCATATTCCAAAATTGGCAAAAAGCTGCAGCAACAAAACGTTTCCTAGTCTCAAAAGATAAGCAAGGTCTAATTCTAAAATAAAAACCCAGCTTCAGTTGAGTACAGTATGAGGACCAAAACCCAGAGAATCATTAATGATCAAGCCTAGAAATGTATCCTGTAATCCAACCTTAATCTGATGACCTTGAAAAGTACATCAGCAGTCATTGAAAACTTGCCCACCTCCATTGATGGGTCCTTGGCTTGTCCACTAAGATTCCTTTTTTAAACGTCAATCTTGGTACGAAAATATTCTTTCTGTCATGATTTGTGGACATTAAAATAAAAAAAGACGTGTCATCTCCTGTAATTAGGTCAAAGGGTGGAGTCAGAGTAAAAAATATGGCCGCCATGAGAAGCCCAGTGGCTGGAAGTTGGAGGGGATGTTGCTGCCATTTGAGTGGCTTTAGACTGGGAGGGGCCATTTTGAATGGCTGCTACTGTAATGATGTGATACATCGACTGTTTTCTAGCTAAACTTTCATAATTGGAGAAAAACATTACTTTAGATTTCATAACATAGCTTCCGATCGCCCCAATTGCACTGAACCACTTTAAAAGCTGCTTGTAGGTTAACCAAAGCACATTTAACTGTATTTGCTGAAGAATAAAAGAAAGTGTCAACAGCATAATAAATTTAGCATGCGGGACATTTTTAATTAAACTGTTAACATAGATTATAAAAAGAAGGGGACCTAGGATAGAACCTTGAGGGACACCTTTGGATACTTAAAGGCAGGTGGAAAACTCAAACACACTGGCCTGCAGGACGATTAGCTTTAAAACCATTCCAGTTAATGACGAGACGTCAATGTCAGAGGAAGTTTTTCAGTGACATGCATATAGAAATGCATATAATGGCTGATACTGATAGCCGTTTATTTACTGCATCCTGTCCATCTTTTCACTGTGTCCCTGTTAGGAAACCTGCTCCGAGGCGTACCTCTTACTGCGCTCCCACTCCCGTCTGCTCATCACTCTTTTTTCCCTGATGCTGCTCACGGGCATCCCGGAGCTGAGCGCTGCCGAAGACATGCGCTACCTGCGGGAGGCGCTGCAGGAGGACCAGAGTGAAGGCCAGGCCAAGGCGCATTTTCTGGAAAAGATTTCAGAGTGTGAAAATCTGGGCTGGACGGTGCAGGCCAACTGGTGGATCCACATGGTGGCCGGCATCAAGTAGCCTGGCCAGGAGGAGGAGAAACAGAACATCTGATTGGTTTCCAGAGTTTTCTTTGATGCAGTTGTTCTCCCACTTTACCCGCTTGTTTCATCATACAGGAATGCATGTTTATCAGCGCCATGTCTAACTGGTGTGGCTGGTTTATTCATCATCATGTAACTCATTAATAAATTCCTAGGTAAATAGGTTTTCTCTCTTCTCTTTGTGCTCTCAGGAAAGATGTTTATGATGACCAGCCTGCACATCTATTTCTACGTATCTATCTTCTTGACCATCAGATATTTTGTTTGTTTTAGTGTTTTCTGTGTTTCGTTAGCGAGCGTCCACAGCTCTGCATTCTCACCCTCTCTGTGATTAACTGTTGTCACTGTGGCTATCAGCCTGAGAAGATGAGACGTGTTTTATGTAAACTTTGATGGTCAGAGTTAAAAAACGAAAATTAAAAATAAAAGGCCAATAAAACCAAACAGGCAATGATCATTAACCTTTGGCTGATCAGGCTGTTACTGTGAGAACTTCAGGCTAACCCAAGAAAAGCTCCACAAGAACAATGTCCATGTCTGGTCCCGCATGGAGTCTCTGTCAAATATTAAAGGTATAGAAGTATTCTATTATTCAAAGTAATGCAAGTATTTGTGAAAAAGGATCGTCTTGTTTTTTTATTTTTAATTCCTTCTCTGATTCTGATGTAACTCAACAACTGGGATTAATAAAGAATCTGCCTGCCGACAGTGGAAAACACCAGACTCCTACTTAAATCCATCAGTCCATCATCCATCATCCATCCATCCATCCATCCATCCATCCATCATCCATCCATCCATCCATCATCCATCCATCCATCCATCATCCATCCATCCATCCATCATCCATCCATCATCCATCCATCCATCATCCATCCATCATCCATCCATCATCCATCCAACCATCCATCATCCATCCATCATCCATCCATCATCCATCCATCCATCCATCATCCATCCATCCATCCATCATCCATCCATCATCCATCCATCTATCCATCCATCATCCATCCATCCATCCATCATCCATCCATCATCCATCCATCCATCCATCCATCCATCATCCATCATCCATCCATCATCCATCCATCCATCATCCATCCATCCATCCATCCATCCATCATCCATCCATCCATCCATCCATCATCCATCCATCCATCATCCATCCATCCATCCATCCATCCATCATCCATCATCCATCCATCCATCCATCCATCCATCCATCATCCATCCATCCATCCATCTATCCATCATCCATCCATCCATCCATCCATCCATCATCCATCCATCCATCATCCATCCATCATCCATCATCCATCCATCCATCCATCCATCATCCATCCATCATCCATCCATCCATCATCCATCCATCCATCCATCATCCATCCATCCATCCATCATCCATCCATCCATCATCCATCCATCCATCATCCATCCATCCATCCATCATCCATCCATCCATCCATCATCCATCCATCCATCCATCCATCATCCATCCATCATCCATCCATCCATCATCCATCCATCCATCCATCCATCATCCATCCATCCATCCATCATCCATCCATCATCCATCCATCATCCATCCATCCATCCATCCATCCATCCATCATCCATCCATCATCCATCCATCCATCATCCATCCATCCATCCATCATCCATCCATCCATCATCCATCCATCCATCCATATCATCCATCCATCCATCCATCCATCATCCATCCATCATCCATCCATCCATCATCAATCCATCCATCCATCCATCCATCATCCATCCATCCATCCATCATCCATCCATCCATCCATCCATCATCCATCCATCCATCCATCCATCATCCATCCATCATCCATCCATCATCCATCCATCCATCCATCCATCATCCATCCATCCATCCATCCATCATCCATCCATCCATCCATCCATCATCCATCCATCCATCCATCCATCCATCATCCATCCATCATCCATCCATCCATCCATCCATCCATCATCCATCCATCATCCATCCATCCATCATCCATCCATCCATCCATCCATCATCCATCCATCATCCATCCATCCATCCATCCATCCATCATCCATCCATCCATCCAGCCATCATCCATCCATCCATCCATCCATCATCCATCATCCATCCATCATCCATCCATCCATCATCCATCCATCCATCCATCCATCATCCATCCATCCATCATCCATCCATCATCCATCATCCATCCATCCATCCTCCATCCATCCATCCATCCATCCATCATCCATCCATCCATCCATCCATCATCCATCCATCCATCATCCATCCATCCATCATCCATCCATCCATCATCCATCCATCATCCATCCATCCATCATCCATCCATCATCCATCCATCCATCATCCATCCATCATCCATCCATCCATCCATCCATCCATCATCCATCCATCCATCATCCATCCATCCATCCATCCATCCATCCATCATCCATCCATCCATCCATCCATCCATCCATCCATCCATCCATCATCCATCCATCCATCCATCCATCATCCATCCATCCATCCATCCATCCATCCATCATCCATCCATCCATCCATCCATCTATCCATCATCCATCCATCCATCCATCCATCCATCATCCATCCATCATCCATCATCCATCCATCCATCCATCCATCCATCTATCCATCATCCATCCATCCATCCATCCATCATCCATCCATCATCCATCATCCATCCATCCATCCATCATCCATCATCCATCCAACCATCCATCATCCATCCATCATCCATCCATCCAACCATCCATCCATCCATCATCCATCATCCATCCATCCATCATTCCATCTATCCATCATCCATCCATCATCCATCCATCCATCCATCCATCCATCATCCATCATCCATCATCCATCCATCCATCATTCCATCTATCCATCATCCATCCATCATCCATCCATCCATCCATCCATCCATCCATCATCCATCCATCCATCCATCCATCCATCATCCATCCATCCATCATCCATCCATCCATCATCCATCCATCATCCATCCATCATCCATCCATCATCCATCATCCATCTATCCATCCATCCATCCATCCATCATCCATCCATCCATCCATCCATCCATCCATCATCCATCATCCATCCATCCATCATCCATCCATCCATCCATCCATCCATCCATCCATCATCCATCCATCCATCATCCATCCATCATCCATCATCCATCCATCCATCCATCCATCCATCATCCATCCATCATCCATCATCCATCCATCCATCCATCATCCATCCATCCATCATCCATCCATCATCCATCATCCATCATCCATCCATCCATCCATCCATCATCCATCATCCATCCATCCATCCATCCATCATCCATCCATCCATCCATCCATCCATCCATCCATCATCCATCCATCCATCATCCATCCATCATCCATTATCCATCCATCCATCCATCCATCCATCCATCCATCGTCCATCCATCATCCATCATCCATCCATCCATCCATCCATCCATCATCCATCCATCCATCATCCATCCATCATCCATCATCCATCATCCATCCATCCATCATCCATCCATCCATCCATCCATCCATCCATCCATCCATCCATCAATGGATGCAAGCTAATAGTTTTCCTTTATATCTAAAGAAAAACAATCAGCCGGTTTTCCTTAGATAGAAAACTTTGAATCAATTTGATGGTATGATCTGGTTGATCTGTAAAGTGCTTTGAGAGGACGTGTTGTGAATAAATAAATTGTATTGAAAGAAGTCTTCAATAAAACTAAAAATCTATTCTCTGCCCTGGCCCACTATAATACGCGTTTTTTTGTTTGACTCCTAACTTTTGATGCTGCAGAAAAAGTTCAATTTTCCAGGTTTACTGTGTTGATTTTTGTAGAATAAGGAGGCAGTCATCCATCGTCTTCAAAGAAAGCCCACGGACTAATCAAAGTAGACAGTTCTGGTCTTCTACAAGACTGAGGATTGCATCCCAGTAAATTTGGAAGTGGCACTATGAAGATGGCTTCAATCTCTGGACTCTTTTGGTGGATAATGTGGGTGACTGCTTAGAGTAATCCGTCCAGCACAGCCATTTAAAATGACCTTTTTTTAATGCCAGCTGCAGCCTAGCCATTAGCCTCCTGAACCAGTGGGGAGAGGGTGCCCCCTGGTGCTGAGTCCCAAACCTCAACAGGGGAACATTTCTATTGAAGAGTTGTTATTGCTAAGATCCAACGGCGCTGCATGCTGAAGGTTGATGTTGACGTTAAACCTTCTAAAATGGTTTGGAGAGTTTTTTTGGTATTAATTCTGATTGTTACAACAAAAAGACAAAGAAATGGATATTTGAGTTTTTCCTCACATCATTATAACTAAACTTTAGACATTCTTTCCAGAGAGGCAGTTTAACTGACTGAAATATTAACAGGAGGATCAGTCTGTTGGTCCATCCATCCATCCATCATCCATCCATCCATCCATCCATCCATCCATCCATCTCATCCATCCATCCATCATCCATCCATCCATCCATCCATCCATCCATCATCCATCCATCCATCCATCCATCCATCCATCATCCATCCATCCATCCATCATCCATCCATCCATCCATCCATCCATCCATCCATCCATCATCCATCCATCCATCCATCCATCCATCCATCCATCATCCATCCATCTGTAAGTCCATCCATCCATCCATCATCCATCTATCATCCATCCATCATCCATCCATCCATCCATCCATCATCCATCCATCCATCCATCCATCCATCATCCATCCATCCATCCATCCATCCATCCATCCATCATCCATCCATCCATCATCCATCCATCCATCCATCCATCCATCCATCCATCCATCCATCCATCCATCATCCATCCATCTGTAAGTCCATCCATCCATCCATCATCCATCTATCATCCATCCATCATCCATCCATCCATCCATCCATCCATCATCCATCTATCATCCATCCATCATCCATCCATCCATCCATCATCCATCTATCATCCATCCATCATCCATCCATCCATCCATCCATCCTCCATCCATCCATCCATCCATCCATCCATCATCCATCTATCATCCATCCATCATCCATCCATCCATCATCCATCTATCATCCATCCATCATCCATCCATCCATCCATCCATCCATCATCCATCTATCATCCATCCATCATCCATCCATCCATCCATCATCCATCTATCATCCATCCATCCATTCATCCATCCATCCATCCATCCATCATCCATCCATCCATCCATCCATCCATCATCCATCTATCATCCATCCATCATCCATCCATCCATCCATCCATCCATCCATCCTCCATCCATCATCCATCCATCCATCCATCATCCATCCATCCATCCATCCATCATCCATCCATCCATCATCCATCCATCCATCCATCCATCCATCATCCATCCATCATCCATCCATCCATCCATCATCCATCCATCCATCCATCCATCCATCCATCATCCATCCATCCATCCATCCATCATCCATCTATCATCCATCCATCCATCCATCCATCCATCCATCATCCATCCATCCATCATCCATCCATCCATCCATCCATCATCCATCCATCTGTAAGTCCATCCATCCATCCATCATCCATCTATCATCCATCCATCATCCATCCATCCATCCATCATCCATCTATCATCCATCCATCATCCATCCAT